ATGGACGTGTAAATGTGCTCTCAAAGGGGCCGTTGGGGAGCAAGTTTTGGCGCCATTAGAATTGTACACGTGTCTGCTTGAGATCGCGAATTTTGTTAACCAACGCCCTATCAGAAGAGTTCCAAATGACCCAGATGACGGGGCCTACATCTGCCCTAATGACATCCTGTTAGAACGGGCGACATCACAAGTACCACAAGGGCCCTTCAAGCAAACCAGAAATCCCCGGCATAGAGTGGAATTCGTCCAAAGAATCGTTGGAAACGATGGGAGAGATGTGTTTCCCACACTTGTCCCCAGGAGAAAGAGGCGCATAGAACGACGAAACGTCAGGATTGATGATGTCGTGACAGTGACAGATGAGAATGCTGTTGGAGGCTCATGGACTATGGGGCAGGATTGTACACGTATTTCCAGGAGCTGACAGGAAAGTAGGTAACATCAAGGTGAAAACGGCCAAGGGAGTTTACAGCCGTCCTGTGACAAAGATTGCAGTCATCTACCCAGCAGAGGGATACAGTTAAAGTGGATTAGGTGATAAGGACTATGCCCTTATCGGGGTGGATGATTTTTCGTTAACTGAACCGGAAATAAACTCGTGATTACAAACACTGATTTAGTTAAAGATTAAGGACATTGATTGACATTTTGAGATTACTAGATTTTATGCTGTTTTACACACTGTCAGGTTTCAATCAGAAGTATTTTGCTAACCGGTATTGCTCATTAGTGCAAGAGATTCAAGCTAACCAGTTTAAGGCTAAGCCGTTTTAAGCTACGACCTGCCACAGCAGTGAGTAAAGCATGATTGTGAAATTAGAGTTTCTAATTGAGGTATTTTTCAGTGAAATCATTGTCCTAGAGATTATAAGTAAGTTGCGTAACGACGAATTGTATTGCTGTTTCAGATGGAATAATATAATTGCTTCAGTTGCTATTAATGTTAGTATCAATAAACATCAAGTGATTGATTATATGTGGTGGTCATTGGAATACGCAGTAAATGACTATGTAAAACAGATATTGTTTAAGCCTTCCCTAAAAGTTGATATTCTGGAAATCACTGTGGACAAAAATGGACGTTTTCTCGTCGCAAAAGGAAACCAAGATAATTTGTGTCTAGTCAATATTTATGCTCCCAATGACCAAAACCAACAAGTTAACTTTTTTGACAAAATCATCGATCCCATTTGCCGTAGTAGTACTAACAACATTTTACCAGGTGGTGACTTTAACTGTCCTTTGACAGAGGTCGATAAAGTAGGTGGTAGGGACATACTCTATAACAAAAGGACCATCCAAGCAATTCAGGAACTTTGTAACAGCTTTGACTTAGCCGACGTCTGGAGAACTCAACACCCGAATAAGAAGCATTATTCTTGGGCAAATGGCTCAGGAAAGATTAAAATGTCGACTAGATTTCTGGCTAATTTCAAAACAATTACTAGCACGCGTTACTGAAACAGATATCAACGCTTATTAAGACTCAGATCACTCGCCTGTCATCATCTCGTTGACACCAGAACATCAAGTACCTAGAGGACCAGGGTTTTGGAAATTTAATAATTCTCTTCTTGAGAATGAAGAATTCGTTACAAAATTGAAGTTTTTCATCCTAAATGCTTAAGAAAAGTACAGGGAAGTTACTGATAAAAGGCTTTTTTGGGAAATGATAAAAATGGAAACAAGGATATGGAATCCGAACTTCTCCGAAAACTCCAAGATCTAAATGCTCGTATTGATGCTGCTCCAGAAGGAAATCCTCTAGCGAACAAGGCAAAAAAGGTAAAAATTAAATTAGATCAAATGGCCGAGGAGAAAACCAGAGGTTGTATTGTCAGAAGCCGAGCTCGATGGTATCAATCAGGAGAAAAATGTAATAAATATTTTCTCAACCTTTCGAAAAGAAGTTACACCAAAAGACATAAAAAAATTGAAATCCTAGGCAGGGTCTACAATAGAAGACTTGAAAACTATCTTGAATGAAGTGAAGAATTACTACCAACAACTATATACTCAAGCAGTTTGGTTTCTGGAAGGGTTTCTCAACTACAACAGCTTTGACCTCATTTGCTGATGAAGTGCTCTTAAACATGGAACAAGGAAAGCTTTGCGGGGCCGTGTTCATCGACCTAACCAAGGCATTTGACACGGTAGACCATCAAATAATGTTATGCAAGCTATCCGAGATCGGCCTTTCTGAAACAGCTCTTCATTGGTTCCGTTCTTACTTAACTGGTAGACAACAGCGCACATCATGTGGAAATGAGTTATCTGAGGAACTTCCAGTCACGCATGGGATGCAACAGGGTAGCATTCTAGGGCCTCTGTTGTTTGTGATTTACATAAATAACTTGCCAAATGTGCTTAACTCCTGCTACGCGTCTTTTTATGCAGACGACACTGTAATTTATTGCTATGGTACATCCTCAAAGGAGTTAAGTGATAAGTTAAATAACGATCTACTGGGTGTGGCGAAATGGCTCATGATCACAAACTGACTTTAAATTTGGACAAAACTAAATGCATGCTTATCGGTAGTAATAGGAAACGCGAAAGCAAAGTAGATTCGACTGTTTCAATTTTCGATCATAGTATAAGTAATGTTCACAGCTTTAAATACCTCGGTATACATATATCTTAGGATTTTACATGGACTGATCATATTGAACACCTAACTGGGAAAATCAATCAGGGGCTTGGGCTCCTCAAGCGTATAAAGCATATATTACCTTTCAGGGCGTGTCTACTTTTCTATAAAAGTCTTGTTATGCCCCTTTTTGAATATGCTGATCTAGTATGGGGCGATAAACATAATATTACCCTTATGTCTAGTTTGCAAGTTTTGCAAAATAAGGCCGCTAAAGTTCTTTTAAATAGACCATTGTACTCATCCTCCACTGAAGCATTAGCCGTTCTCAAGTGGCTGCCTCTAGAGAAAAGGCGATTTCAAAGATGGTGTGTACACGTCTACAAATGCATCAATGCCTAATTAATCACGATATGGACTTGATTAGACAAGACGTACTTCATAGGCATAATACACGTAACAAAGGCAATTTTAGATTGCCACGTGTCAAAAGAAATTGGGGGAAGCAAAGAACACAATATCATGCCGTTTCCGATTTTAACTCCCTCAGTCAGACGATCAAAGACTCAAGGAATGTAAATAGTTTTAAACGTAATGTTTTTAAGTTTTTAATATAGCTACTTACGTTTACGTTTTACTTATTTTTAATTTTCTATGCATTTTTTGTATCTTTTTTTATCCCTTTTTATATATCCCAATTTTATAGCTTTTTTTTATTTTTATAATATATATCTAGTTTTGAAGTCCTTTTTGAAAACCATATCTTTTATGAAAAAAGTTTCCTCAATAAAGATGATTATTATTATTATACTTCCCAAGGCCAAACCTCCCCTGACCAGCTATCAGACTTTCTTAATTCTGGACCTTTACCAAGACTAGACGATGTCTCACAAAGCCTTTGTGAAGGTTCGATTACTGAAGCAGAATGCTTATCTGCCATAAAGTTTTTCAGCGTAACAAGACCCCGGAACAGACGGTCTAACAGCGGAATTCTATCTCTGTTTTTGGAAGGAGATTTCTTGCCCTTTGATTGACTGTCTTATATCACAGGGCTCTACAAGGAGAACTGTCCCTCTCTCAGAGACAAGGAATAATTTCGCTAATCCCAAAAAAGGATCAGGACCTATTGTCTCTTGAAAACTGGCGTCCCATTTTGCTTTAAATACGGATTACAAAATTGCTACTAAAAGCATTGCTAAACGGTTGGAGAAAGTTCTTCTGCTCCTTACAGGAAGTAATCAAACAGGATACATTAAGGGCGGATTCATTGGCGAAAACATGATGATTCGTCTTATTTCTGATATCATCGCACAACATGAAAATGACCAAGGAATGATTTTCCTTCTGGATTTTGAAAAAGCGTTTGACTGGTTAGAATGGGACTACCTCTTCCCGGTGTTAGGGGAAATGAATTTTTTGGCCCAAGTTTTCGCAACTGGGTCCACACATTTTATCATAATATCTCTAGCCGCATTGTGGACAATGGACATGCTCCGGAATTCATCCCCTAAAAAGGGGAGTGAGACAAGGGTGCCCGCTTTCCGGGATGCTTTTTACTCTTGCCGTAGAACCTCTTGCTATTCAGATCAGAACAAGCAAATCGATCAAAGGTCTTTCGAATGGAAACAAAGAATCTAAAGTCAGCTTATATGCCGATGATACCACTACTTTAATTCATGACGACTCGTCTGCAGTAGCCCTTTTCGCTTTGCTTGATCGATTCAGTACGGTCTCCGGTCTGAGAATAAATAAGTCCAAAACTGAAGGGCTGTGGCTGGGATTGTGGAAAAACAGATTAGGTAAAGACGAGCCTTTTAGAATCTCTTGACCGAAGTAATACGTCTCCTCCCTCGGCATAGTTTTCGCTTATGAAACGCATGTTGGCGAGAAAATCAACTTTGATGAACGGCTTGTTAAAATGAAAAAGGTGTTAAATCTTTGTTCAGGTCAGTGCTTGTCAATACTGGGGCGAATTGCTATTGTCAAAACGTTAGCACTGTCTAAACTTGTTTATAATTGCTCTGTGCTTGATACTCTGACCGATTTTGCTCAAGAAGTTAATAAGGTCATTTTCCCTTTCATATGGAACTTTAAGCTTGATAAGTTCAAAAGAAACACACTTACAGGCCCAATCACCAAAGGTGGCCTTAACAAGGTCAATTTCGTGGACGTAGAAAAATCTCTTTAAGCTGCCTGGGTAAATCGCTATTGTTCATCGGATGGTCATCATTGGTGTGTGTTTCTTAACTTTCATCTTGAAAAATTCGGAGGCTCTTTTTTGTTTCAGTGTAATTGCGATTTGAAATTCTTAGATCTAAAAGGTCTCCCCCTCTATTATAGGAACATTTTGAAGGTCTGGCAAATCCCTCATTCCAAGGTACCCCTTAGTGTTAATGAAATTAAAGAGGAAATACTTTGGAATAACCGCTTTATTACGATGGGAGGAAAGACAGTTTTTTATAAAGCATGGGTTAGTAAAGGCATTTTAGAATCAAAGATATCTTCAATGCTCACGATAACTTCCTGTCTTTCCTAGACCTTAAATATACTTTTCACATTCGTGGTACCTTTCTTGATTACGGCGGTCTTCTGGCCGCGATTCCTAAAGATTGGAAAAATGCTATCTTACATGGCAATCAGGAACACACTAACGGACCAAAGGTAACACAACTAACCGTTGGAAATGTTTAAGCAAAATATGCTCGACTAATGTTTGCTGACAAATCTTTCTGCCCTCCATTAACTGAATCCTATTCAAGAGAACAAACATTCACTCCTAGTACCGTATATGAGCTTCCATTTAAAATCACCATTGAAAATAAGCTAAGAAGTTTTCAGTTCAAACTCATCCACAATGTTCTTCCAACCAACCAACGCCTTTGGAAAATGAATGTTAAATCTTCTCCAAAATGCGAACAATGTGATTCTCCTTCTGAAACTATAAGCCATATATTTACGCGTCCTGAGGTAAAAAGGTTTGGGGGAAAAGTCATCGATTGGTGGAATAGTAAACATTCTGAAAACATAAATCCCAATCCAACGGAAGTTCTTTATGGAGACAAACATGAATCTAACAGCTTTCATACTTTTAACTATTATCTCTTAATTGCTAGATATTACGTTTACTTAGCTAGAAACAAGTTTGAGACCCCAGAGCTGGAAGTTTTCATTGTTCTCCTGGAAATTAAAATCCAGTGCGAAAGAGAAATTGCAATAACAAACGGAAACCTGTTTTATCTGCCACCCTGTTATTGTAAAGTTTATTGTAATGTTATGTTAAATGATGTTTAATAAATAAATTATTTGAGAGAAAAAGTTGCTGCCATATTTAAAACCACTCACTTCACCCCAGTGCAGAAAACGGTGGCTGTTAACATTGGAATGAAGATACACCCGCAGTTCTTGAAACACCTGTCGGAGTCTGTCGACCTGGTTCCAGAGCAGTTGGCCTACCAAATAATAGATGATGTGACCATAAATCGAAAAAAGAGGCTGATTGACTCAAGGGGCTTCACCTACAACGTTAAAGAGCACTGGAAAGAGACCACCTATTGGCAATGTACGGTGCGCCCGAAAGCTGCATGAGTTGGTGGACTATGTAGACAACCAGTGGATCAACACCAACACTTTCCCACCAAGTTCCTGGAGCGTCTACGGACAGCCTGTCCGTACCAATAATGATATCGAGGGATGGCACAATTCCCTCAACCGACGCGCTGGTGGTAGAGTTCATTTACCTTTCTACCTCCTGATCCAGCTGCTCCATCCAGAGTCCTCTGTGTGCAACGTCCAAGTTCGACTCGTCAACGCCAGAAAACTTCAAAGGATCCAGCGTAAAAAATATGGCGGCCTTTTCCAACGTTCCAATCGT